AGGAGTACCTGGGACACGGTATCTGTACCTAGAGGAGCTACAGGAGTACCTGGGACACGGAATCTGTACCTAGAGGAGCTACAGGAGTACCTGGGACACGGTATCTGTACCTAGAGGAGCTACTGGAGTACCTGGGGCACGGTATCTGTACCTAGAGGAGCTACAGGAGTACCTGGGACACGGATTCTGTACCTAGAAGAGGTACTGGAGTACCTGGGACACGGTATCTGTACTTAGAAGAGGTACTGGAGTACCTTGGGCACGGTATCTGTACCTAGAGGAGGTACTGGAGTACCTGGGACACGGATTCTGTACCTAGAGGAGCTACAGGAGTACCTGGGACACGGTATCTGTACCTAGAGGAGCTACTCGAGTACCTGGGACACGGTATCTGTACCTAGAGGAGGTACTGGAGTACCTGGGACACGGTATCTGTACCTGGAGCAGCTACAGGAGTACCTGGGACACGGTATCTGTACCTAGAGGAGCTACTCGGAGTACCTGGGACACGGTATCTGTACCTAGAGGAGCTACAGGAGTACCTGGGACACGGTATCTGTACCTAGAGGAGCTACAGGAGTACCTGGGACACGGTATCTGTACCTAGAGGAGGTACAGGAGTACCTGGGACACGGTATCTGTACCTAGAGGAGCTACTGCAGTACCTGGGACACGGTATCTGTATCTATGTTGCCACCAATCACTGGTTCGTCTGGTCCAGCCCGACTATCGATGTATTACCGTGACTGCCCACTGTAGGATTACTACCTGATGTGATCACACACTTATTTACCCATCCTCTCATCACAGGGCAGTGATCAGGTAGCACAGCGGGTAAAGTGCTCGGACGTCGCGCCTTTAAATTTCTCACTTTTAATGCATTTAGTGAAGGCTATTCTTGAAGTGCCTGACATTGATGGAATATGGGAATGGAATCATATTAACCTCCTCATTCGACTTCTCACATGTATAACAGCATTAAAATATCCAAGTCCCTTAATGGGACTCGAATTACGTTCGTTCGTTTTGACCCGGGGTCGAACGCTTTCTCCAGATATTTTAACCCCGCAAACTTTACACGTTATATAACGTCACGCCCTGTGGTACATGCATTGAATGCCATGCCATGATGTACGACAGTTCAAGTAAATAGTACCTAATTGCTGTTATTTTAGGAAAACCTGCTTTGAAAAACGTGTGATAATAAGTGTTAATTTTCAAAAAGCAGCCCGGCCGATGCTGTATACAATAGTTTGTGCTGAAACGGACTGATAGGTGTATCCGATCTGTTAGTTCCCCTCTGTGGTGGTACTGTTGATAGGCCAAGTACACATAGCCAGTGTTGTACCTGCAAATGTGTCAGATGTATCATGCAAAATCACGTGGCCGTTTTATATCACTTTTATGTCACACCAGTTGTATAACACCTGTATAACACCTGAATACCACCTGTCCCCAGGGTGTGTCATGTATGGGTAGCCTAGCAGTGTTTATTACAGCAGAGGAACACTTGTTTATGGCTACACAGCATCTTTACTGCAATAGAGGCGACGGTTTGGTGTAGGTTTGCTTGATAACGGTGTTAGGGTCTACACCGAAACGTCGCATCTATGCAGTAAAGAAGCTGTCTGTCCATAACAATGTGCTCTTCATCATACCAGCTTCTATATACCACTTAAAGAAGTTTATTACAGCATGCGCGTTTAATGGTGCTTTCAAAGCTGACATCACAGTCAACTTACACGTCAATAGATACATTGCAAGTAATTTTACGCCCAAAAAATATTTTAGTCTATAATCGAAATAAAATTCGGCCGCACCCACTCCAGGACTAGGAGCTCATAATAGCATTGTTGTGGCAACGTGTTGCTGAAAGACGTCACTAATTGAATATTATTGCCTACACTTTGTGTGTGTTGTGTGTGTGTGTGTGTGTGTGTGTGTGTGAGAATGATTTAACAAACTGGTTGTGACGTTATTTTCATACACGTTGAGCGCAATATATTTTGTTTATAGGGCTATAACACGTTATAGGCTTGTATCTCCATAACAGATTGCCAATTGTCAATTCTAGGAACCCTTTTGTGACACTACAAGCAGCAGGGGTGGGGGTCGGGTTGGAAAAGTGAGGGGTCTGGGTGGTCTGGACGTCCCGGACAAGAACTTGTCAGTGTGACGTCCTGATCGTGCGTTCGAACACCTGGACGCCATCATTGTGACTCTAGGTTCATCAGCACCAACGTGTCAGACTGGCGTAAATTAAGGCTTTCCTACAATCAAGATTACACGCCATGATGTAACTGCGTGCACGCAACCCGCCCACTCACCTGCAGGGTATGGTGTGCTGGCAGACAAGGTCGACTGATTCGTAACAATGGATGAACTCCTGAACGAACAGGCGTGTTGGTTGTTTAATGTCAGACTCATCAATATTCCACCTACATGGCCACGATACAATAATCTAGTTACAGACTAGACAAACCGGTGATTGTGAACAGCGTCCCGTCGGGGACATACTCTTGTCAGCTAAGCTGGCACGTTTAGTCAACATGGATGACCAGATAAACCAGTGGTCGATATTGTGAGCAACGGCCATGATCACAGGTTCGATAATCCAGTCAAACAAGTAACCACGCTTGACCACCCCAACCATTGCGTCGCGTCTTACATGGGAAGAAGGGGGCGTAAAGTAACTCAGAATCCCCACGATGTTTAAACGGAAAAAACCCTCTGGATCAAAACGATTAGGGACAGAGGAAACGTCATGCCTCTTTGTTTTGACAATGGTACGTTTAGAGCAAACTGCTCAGATTCACTGGTGCCAAACTAATCACAAAGTGGACACGAGGTGTATTTGATATCGGATATCATCTAAAAGACTTTGATTTTTATGAATATTATCAACATGATTTGAACAGTTCGACACCCAAAATATCTTTTTTCATCTCATCTGTGAGTAATATAACGGACCATCGACGTACGTATTGTGATATTACCTTAGATCGGCGTCTATCTGTTTGTAATATAACGGACCATCGACGTACGTATTGTGATATTACCTCAGATCGGCGTCTATATCTGCTACTTTTAGTGTACGGCAAACGTAGGTGTTGTTACGCTGCTACGTGCCATTTGTCGATATATGTCTTGGTCGGAATAATTTTGGTTCACTGTAAAACGACTCACAGAACAACTGCCAGACTTTGGAACCAGGGGCGTAGCTTCCATAATAAAAAAAAGCCCGGGTTTACACATGATTGTTGCTAAAAGGGCTGGGCAAGCCCTCAATACTATCTAAATATGAAACTTTGTAACCTATTAGGCTTGTAAAATTGGCTTGCTACGCGCCTGTTTGGAACTAACATACAATATGGCATAAAGTTACGCAACGTTATAAACTGACACGAGCTATAGTTAACGGTTATTCAATGGTGCTATGTTTGATACAGCTATGATTGTTGTATCTGGACCCGTGGTTGGATTCTGTGTGTTTTCAGGCTACCAACGTTTTGATGACGTTGTTGTGATATATTAAAATCCAAATTTCAAGTGTATACTACCTGTTGTCTAGCAAATAACATGCCTGCCGACAAACCGAAGGTTAATAGCATGAACAACTATAAAGGACTTTGGTTGCAACGATTGGTTACATTTGGTCTGATCTTTTCCGACTTAGATTCTAATAACAATTTAAAGTTAAAAGGCTTTCTCATGTACAAGAACGTGTGAAAACAAGGAATTCGATAAGCATGGATCAATGCACACAAACGACCCTTGAATATGTCCCTGTTCTTGGGGGGTCAGTTGCCCCATGAAGTGACACCCTATACTAGCAGCCCCAGGGGGCTAATTACCTAGTTCAACTTGAACTGACCTGGTCACAATAGGTCGTTAATTAAGTACTATGGTCAGTTAATCTATGTCCAGGCATGGTCGCCGTAACCAAGGAGAGCACGTGGCTGACCGGTACAAGTAGAGTGGCCACACTTGCATCACAGCGCGTGAACAACGGGATATATTCACTCAGCTGACACCGCCATTGAAGCTTCAGGGGTAGATATTGCATTTATTACCCTAATGCGACCGTGCGTTAGTTATAAAGTGGTAGTCACGTGCATGCATTCTTGAGACTGAGTTCTGTTCTTTCTGTCTTATATCCGTGTGGATGTTGACAGAATCCACAGGAGGGCCAGGATTTTTAAAGCGGGTGCATGCATGCTGATTGTATGTTTCCTTTAGTTTTTAGAACTGGGTTAGGAGTGTGTGTGTGTGTTTTTTCCATGATGTGAAATTGGAGCTGCTGCAGTCGCGATCTCCTGTCACACATGTACAAAGAACCGTCAGTGCTTCACGGCTTTCTGTTCATGTTCAACTGGTACAGGTGGAGACGTTGACAATGCTACGTTCAAATAAACATCATTGTAGTCCCTTGCACAATGAACATGTGAAAAAAGATGATTACTCAAAATGGGATTACAATTATTTTTTCATTTGGCAATAAAATATTTCTGTCACATATAACTCTATAATATCTCTATTCATGATCATAATATTGTGCTTTTAACTGTACTTACTGTACTTTACAGAGAAAGGATAATCCCAATTATTACACGTTAGATTTGACTACATTTTAAAAGGCATTGTGCATTCATTGTGCGCGAGGTTTCAAAGTAAAAACATATTTTTCCTGTTCAAAATAAACATCTAGTTAATCCGAAATCATGAAGTCAAAACACGCTTTTTACGTCATTTATTTGCAGAATTTATTATTTCAAAAAGACCAATTACTGAACGTGTCAAGTACAGATGGAGTACATAGACTGGGCTCAGTACTTGTAACAATGAAATAAGTGCATGGAATCCATTGGTTTCACTTGGATATTATGCGTCTTTCTTTCTTTGTCGCAGGTCAACAAAATGTTTGGCTGTCGTGACCTCATGAATGAAGTTCTGTCTTGATTGTTGACGATAGGATATGAGAGTTACCCCCCTTTCTTACTCTTCTGCCCATGCGTCAGGTCTGCATTGATGTATTGCAGAATAGAGGAAGGTTGGATGTACGGATCGTCTGTCGCGAGCTCGATCTTTGCCTTAAGTAAGTACATAGACTAACTCTTGATTAGTAAAGGTCACAGCCAAAGGCTTTAGTTGACCGAGATGTAGTCATTAGCTGGATTTCACTGGGGTGTAAATCCGAGCGGAGGTTTTCAAGGGCGGATCGAGAGCCGCTCAGCTGTTTTAGCCCCGCTGTTTGTTGCCGAGTTTGTTGGTTCGCTGGAGTTGAATCGGACAAAAATTCGATAAGATGACGTTGGTTATCATAATAATCTATGCGAGAATTCCGTAGACTGTTACATCATTGTTCTGTAATGGACGTAAAGACAGACGATAAGTACCCTTTACGCCGAACCTCGCAAATCCGAACTGAATACTGTAAAACCTCTTTCATTAGAGAATGTTATGAAGTGACCCTAAGACTGACCTGGCACACGGACAATAAAGAATTTATTGACCAGCTCATACGACTGGCCTCGCACAAAGAAAATACAGTATTACCCCCATGTTCTAATATATTTTGTTGACAGCATAACTCCATTATTCGGTTAGATCTACCAGTCATGCTATCATGTTGACACCATCTGTCAGTTAGAGATCAGATGCGTTTTGACATATTATCTTAATAGAGCTCATATGAAAATTTCGTTGAAACTGTTGAATGACTAGGTATTCAGCATGTAGGTTAATGGTCATATTGACTCATATACGATTTGGGGATAGATGTGTTCTGTATTTCAAGTGTCATGTGATATATCAGATCATTTGGGTTATAAATAGATTTCATTGTTTGGCCTGGCCCATGTGATATAATGTGCACTGATTTCATGCATAGAGTTAGTAGTAGCCACAATGAAAGTATTCTTTAATAATTTACACGGATCATTTAATATATCTGTTAGGTTGTATCATTTTGATAGTTATGCCTATTTCAGACCTGTACTTGTATACCACATGTTTTCTAACCAGCACATCACATTTAAACTGCTTTAGCATCCATAGTTAGACAGTCAGCTGAGGCGTACCAACACCTCACTGTTTGCTGTGGGAATCCACCACTGAGTGGATTTCCTGAAAATGTGCAAATTCCATGGACACATGTACTGGCTATGAGGGCTGGCATTTGTAGCAATTAGCATAGTGGTGTATATTACATTATATCACCCTGCCTGTTATTTCCCACCTCCTATGGTGACTGGCCAGCCATTAACTTGAAGTGAAGTAGTTAGGGCTATTGCTTACTGATAACTTATCTCATTGATCTGGTCATACAATTTCATGGACATGGTCAACTTAGATTTATGAGAGGTCTTAAATTACACTCTGTACCAACAATTAATCCAGATAGCACCAACTTGGAGCTGGACATAAGTTTCAGTTGATGTCAGTGTTATATGGACTACTATTATTAGTTGAGCTGATTAGACCAGACTGGATTAGCGGTTGAAGTCTTAGATTTATTAAGGTTGCCAAGTAACATCTTGTTTTTTGCTATTTCAAACTCATATATTTTAGCTAATTGAAGATGTACCCATTCGTTTTTCTAGATCATTTAATCTTATCAGCAGCGGTATAAATTGGAAGTAACCAGATCCCAGTTTCCTAATGATAGCGGTATGTGACTCTAGAATTTCAGCTGGTTTGGGAGGTTTTCCACTGTATATGTATATATTGTGACGAAACTAAAGCTAAACATTACTTCTTTCATATGACTATATTGCAGTGCCATGACTTTTAAAGCCAGGGGATTCCCCTATGCTCAAATGACATGGCGAGTAGGCAAAAGGTTTTGTTTTTATTCTTACAAGTTGATTGTGTGTTAACGTAACTGACGTGTGGGGTGTTATTCTTGATAACAACCAACTGACATGGCGAGGAGGTAACAGTTTGGTTGCCAGACTTGATGGTTGGTTGTGTGTGACGTGTGGTATGTTACACAATCAACTTGTCATTTACTTGTTGTTGACGAAGTGCTGAAATTTTGCTTAGTGTGGGATTGATTCAAATGCAGACTTAGTGGTTTAGCATTAGTGACTGGTATAATGAAAGATTGTAGCAGTATCGTGGAGTAATAAGTAATCATGAATTTTTGGGGGAATTATTACTCCATAACCTTTCAGTAAGACATGTTGAGTCCTTTTACCTTAGGCTAGGATTTATGTAGAAACATCCTTTAAGCTATGCTGTCGTAACTTATACCTTTTGAATAGTATGTCTGTGAGATGACTTTTTATTACTTAAAACTAGTGTCTTGCTCCAAGCTATTACTGATCATGATAAAACTAATATTCTATATTTATAGTTTCCTAATATCTGAATCCTAATATATTGCTTATAGTGGTAATAATTAATAATGAATTTTTGTATGATTTATTACTCTGTGATAGCAGTGTCAGAAATTTCTTCATTAAGTATTGACAATAACTAATAATTATTTTTTTCACCATTCATTTTCTCCATAAATAAACATGCTAAATATATATTAATGTCCATGCCAGACTGTAATCAATTTCCCTTATTAGTCGAAACAGATTTCATTGTGCCTTAAAGGATAAATAGTGATGAAAATTAGGTGCATGGATCACTGACCATCAGTGTGAACACCAGGTGTTCTGTGAAAACATGTGCATATCCTGCTCTAATGTAAATGTTACAGTTCCATAAAGTTATGTGTTGATTAAAGCGCAGTGGGACAGCTGGACAGGGAACGACTATAGTCCTGATAATGGCCAGTCACCCTCCAAAATATTTAGAAAATATCAATCTGCGATAAACGCACAATTATGTGACTTATTGTTCATAATTGAAGCCCTTTCATCAAACAGGGCTAATAAGCAATCACTGGGTTTAGTGAAGCTTGTTATTACGCTGGTAGGTCAGATGGCAGTCAGTGTCTGGTTGGCAAGCCAGTTGCTAGGTTCCACGGGTATGGTTATGGCACTCATTGATTTTCCCAGGCTTTTTGTGCTGCTGGTCATGATTGATACAGTTAAGTAAATAAATTAGCTGTAGTAATGAAATATTTATGTTGGATCTTATTGGCTTTTTAAGGGAGACTTGTGTAAATGGACATATTTAAGTTTGAACCAATATATTTGGTGCCTTGTTTGGAGTTGGGCATCATAGAAAATAGTTCTTGTCCAAGGTTTAGTTGTGTGTTGGTTTATATATCCATAGGGGAAAAGGGGATTAGGGGATTCCTAGGTTTTCAAATCCCCATGGGAATCAGTTCGAGAAAAACTTCTTTCTTGCTCAAAATTGACATTTTGGGCAAGTTCCTATTTTCAGTGGTATTTTAGTATGATATTTCCCTAGTTGGCAGAAAGGGCGGTGGGGTAGCCTAGTGGTTAAAGCGTTGGCTCGTCACGCCGAAGACCCGGGTTCGAATCCCCACATGGGTACAATGTGTGAAGCCCATTTCTGGTGTCCCCCGCCTTGATGTTGCTGGAATATTGCTAAAAGCGGCGTAAAACCAAACTCAGTCAGTCAGTTGGCAGAAAAGGTCTGCTCTAGTTTTGCCATCTACCTGAAGGTGACAATGGTAGTCAATAAAGAGTTCAACTATTCCTTCATGATGTTTACTAGCATTGGACCAACAAAACCATAGGATGATTTATGATTATGCTACTGGAATTGGGACAATTTTAAGTCTGTTTGCTGCAAGCTTGGCTGAAAATTGGCCCAAGGACCTGCTGTGCTATCTCTTTTCTTCAGACACTGCTAATGTCAAAATTTATACACACATGCACATGCACACACACACAAACCATCCGTCAAACTCACAACCACTCTCAACCATGTTCTGAAGGTAAATCATTATTGACTTGTTACCCTTCCACTGTAGAATTAATGACTGTAAGTGTCCATATATGGGGTAATGATTTGTGAAGGAAAATAATATTTTAGATTTCTCTTCATACCTCATAAAGGCATTCATCCATTTGCAGACCATCAAGTAATTGTAGTTATGGAATGAGATCCTCTTTTATTTCCGATCAAATCTTTGACACGCAAATTTCAGGAAAGTAAGAAAAAAAGTGAAAACTGATTAAAACTGGTGATTCATTGATGAAATCCCTACAGTTGCCAAACTCTGCCTACTTTGAATGCTAGGTATGTGTCAAAAGCTTTTTAAGTCTGATTGCCTGGAATTTTTATCGCAATAATTTTAGAAGAGTTTATTTTTCATATCACAGTATTTCATAGTTATTTGACCGATGTCACAGACTGGTATGTTGTGTCGTCACGGACTGGTATGTTGTGTCGTCACGGACTGGTATGTTGTGTCGTCACGGACTGGTATGTTGTGTCGTCACGGACTGGTATGTTGTGTCGTCACGGACTGGTGTGTTGTGTCATCACGGACTGGTGTATTGTGTCGTCACGGACTGGTGTATTGTGATGTCACAGACTGGTGTGTTGTGTCGGCACAGACTGGAATGTTGTGTCGTCACGGACTGGTATGTTGTGCCGTCACAGACTGGTGTGTTGTGTCGTCACAGACTGGTGTATTGTGATGCCACGGACTGGTGTATTGTGTCGTCACAGACTGGTGTATTGTGTCGTCACGGACTGGTGTATTGTGTCGTCACAGACTGGTGTATTGTGTCGTCACAGACTGGTGTATTTGTGTCGTCACAGACTGGTGTGTTATTGTCGATCGCGGGCTGGTGTATTATTGTCGTCACAGACTGGTGTATTGTGTCGTCACAGACTGGTGTATTAATGTCGTCACAGACTGGTGTGTTTGTGATGTCACAGACTGGTGTATTGTGTCGTCACAGACTGGTGTCATTAGTCTGGAACTGGTGTATTGTGGCGTCACAGACTTGAGTATTATGTGTCGTCACAGACTGGTGTATTATTAATCGTCACAGACTGGTGTATTGTGTCGTCACAGACTGGTGTATTAATGATGTCACAGACTGGTGTATTGTGATGTCACAGACTGGTGTATTGTGTCGTCACGGACTGGTGTATTATTGTCGTCATGGACTGGTATGTTGTGTCGTCACAGACTGGTGTATTGTGTCGTCACAG